ATCAAAAGCCTTAGTGAAATCAAAGTAGACTACAAAGGATTGGGCTCATCTACACATCTGGTCACCTGTTTGAAAAATTCAAGTAAGTTCACTAATGGCTCACTAATGACTAATGTTCTCCAGGAAAGGAAATCTGCCATCCTTACCTGGCGTGGCCAACATGTGACTCTAGATGCACAGCAAGGTGGGTGACTCTCAACTACCCTCTGAAATGGATTAGCAAGCCACTCCACTTTAGCAATTAATGCAAAGTCACAACAAAGAAATGATTGGACAGACTACCTGGCATTGACCTCGGCAACAAAAATGACAATGGCAGAAACAGCCCTGCAAAGTCCTCCTCACTAACATCTGGGGGCTAGTGCGAAAATTAGGTGCTGTCTTTCAGAGTAGTCAAGCTATAGGCATAATTAACACAATATGCCAGACACAACCATCACTATCCTTGGATATGACCTGCCCAAAGGTGGAAGAGTTGTCCTGAGAGTCCAGACTCCATGAAGTCTCATGGCTTCACGTTAAACATAGGCAAGGAAACCTCCTGATTACACATATGGTCTTCTCTTGGCTTATGAACCATGTTGAACAACACTTGGAAGAAGCACTGAGGGTGCCAAGGGTGCAAAAATGTATTCTGGATGGGGCATTTCAATGTCCACCACTAAGCTGGGGGGCATCTAAAGGACTGGGTCTGCAGCAGCTTGTAAGGAAACCAACAATAGGGATAAACATATTTGACCTAATCTTTACTAATCTGTCAGCTGCTGACCCAACCATCCACGACAGTGACAATCAGAGTGACAACTTGTGAAGACCAAGTCCCGCCTTAACGTTCAGAATACCCTTCATTGCATGGCGTGGCTCTATTACCATGCTAAATGGGACAGAATTTGAATAGATCTAGCAACTCTAAACTGGGCATCCATGAGGTGCTGTGGGCCATCAACTTCAGTAGAATTGTACTCCAGCACAATGTGCAACCTCATCATCTGACATACCCCCAATTCAGCCATTACCATCAAGCCAGTGGATCAATCCTGGCTCAAAGACGATTGCAGGAAGCATGGCAGGAGCAGCACAGGCATACCTATAAATGAGATGGCAATGTGGAAACTACCAAAATAGGACTACTTTCATATCAAAATGCATAAGTGGCAAGTAACAGACATAGATAAGCAATCCATAACTAACGAATCAAATCTAAGCTCTGAAGTCTTGCCATATTCAATGGACAATCAAATAATTCACTGGTGGCGGTTGCACCATAAATAGCCCCATTCTCAATGATAGAAGAGCAACACAGTGCATTTGACTGGATGACCCATCTCGGCCTCCTCCGATGGTGCCCAGCATTACAGATACCAGACTTCAGTCAATTCCATTCACTCCACATGATATCAAGAAACAATTGGAGGCACTGGGTACTACAAAGCTATGGGCCCTGACAACATTCCAGCAATAATACTGAAAACTAGTGCACCGGAATTTGCCTCTTCCCCTAACCAAGCTGTTCCAATATAGTTACATCATCGTCATTTATCTGACAATGTGGAAAATTGCCCAGGTATGTTAGAACATTGAACATAGAACAGTACAGCACAGTACAGGCCCTTCGGCCCACGATGTTGTACCGAACTATTATCCTATTAAGATCAATCTACCATGCATACCTTACATTTTACCATCCTCTGCGTGCCTATGCAAATGTCACTTAAAAGTCTCTAAAGTATCTGACTCCAGTGGTAGTGGAGTTTTTGAGAGAGCGGGTTAATGGCACGATTCTTGGCAGTGTGGAGGAACAGGGGGATCATGGGGTCCACGTCCATAGATCCCTCAAAGTTGCAACCCAAGTTGATAGGGTTGTAAAGAAGGTGTATGGTGTGTTGGCTTTCATTGGCAGGGGAATTGAGTTTAAGAGCCGTGAGGTTATCCTGCAGTTCTGCATTCAAATTCGACCTTACAAAATGATTCACTTCACACTTTTCTGGGTTGAATTCCATCTGCCACTTCTTTGCCCAGCTCTGCATCCTGTCAAATGTCCCATTGCAAACAACAACAGCCCTCCACACCATCCACAACTTCACCAACCTTCATGTCATCGGCAAACTTACTATCCCACCCTTCCACTTCCTCATCCAAGTCATTTACAAAGATCACGAAGAGCAGAGGTCCCAGAACAGATCCCTGCGGAACACCATTGGTCACCGAGCTCCAGGCTGAATACTTTCCATCTCCTACCACCCTGTGTCTTCTATTGGACAGCCAGTTTTGTATCCAGACAGCCAAATTTCCCTGAATCCCATGCCTCCTTACTTTCTGAATGAGCCTACCATGTGGAACCTTATCAAATGTCTTGCTAAAATCCATATACATCACATCCACTGCTCTCCTTTCATCGATGTGTTTTGTCACATCCTCAAAGAATTCAACAAGGCTTGTGAGGCATAACCTGCCCCTCACAAAGCCATGCTGACTATTTCTAATCAAACTGTGCTTTTCCAAATGATCATAATTCAAATAATTTGCCCACCACAGAAGAAAGACTGACCAGTCTGTAATTTCCAGGATTTTCCCTATTCCCTTTCTTGAACAAGAGAATGACATGTTTTGTACACAAAATGGACAAATCCAACCAGGCCAATTATACTCCCATCAGTCTACGCTCAATCACAAATAAAATGGCAGAAGACATCATCAACCACACTATCAAGCAGTACCTGCTTAGTGATGCCCAGTTTGGGCTTGGCCAAGGCTACTCAACTCCTGCCCTTATTGCAGTCTTGGTTCAAACATGGAGAACAGAACTGAATTCCAGAGGTGAGGTGAGAGTGACAGCCTTTAACATCAAGTCACATTAGATCAAGTGTAGCATCAATGAGTCCTGGCAAAACTGGAATCAATGGTTATCGGGGGCAAACTCTATGGTGGTTGAAGTCAAGTCTGGCACATGGGAGGATGGTTGTGCTTCTTGAATGACAGTCTTCTCAGCTGCCGGACATCTCTGCAGGAGCTACTTAGGGTAGTGTGCTAGGCCCACCCATCTTCAGCTGTTTCATCAATGACCTCCCCTCTCCCTAAGTCACAAGTGGGGAAGTTCGCCAATGATTGCATATGATCAACACCATTCATGACTCCGCAGAATCTGAAGCAGTCCATGTTCAAATGCAAGCAAGACCTGGACAATATCGAAGCTTGGGCTGACAAGTAACAAATAACTTTCACACCACTAATTCCAGGCAATAACCATCAAACCACCGCTCCTTGACATTCAATGGCACTACCGTCACCGAATTCCTCAATATCAACATTCTGGAGGTTACCACTGACCAGAAATTCAACTGGTCTCACATAAAGACAGTGGTTAAAGAGCTGGTCAGAAGCTACAAATACTACAACAAGGAACTCACCTCTCGACTCCTCAAAGCCTGTCCATCATCGACAAGTCAGGAGTGTGATGGCATAATTCCCACTTGCCTGGATAGATGCTGCTCCAACCCCACTCAGGTTTGACACCATCCACAACAAAATAACCCACTTGGAATGGCATCATATCCACAAGATTCTATTCCCTCCATCGCTGATGTTCATAGATCGTAGAATCATAAATAATAGAATCCCTACAATGTGGAAACAGGCCCTTCGGCCCAACAAGTCCACAGCGACCCTCAGAACATCCACCCAGACCAATCCCCCTATAGACCCAACTAATCTATACATCCCTGAACACTACGGGCAATTTAGCATGGCCAATCCACCTAGCCTGCACATCTTTGGATTGATGGAAGAAACCGGAGAACCCGGAGGAAACCCACACAGACACAGGGAGAATATGCAAACTCCACACAGACAGTTGCCTGAGGGTGGAATCGAACCCGGGTCCCTGGTGCTGAGATGCAGCAGTGCTAACCAGTGAGCCACCGTTCAGCAGCAGCAGTGTATACAATGTACAAGATGCATTGCAGAAATTCACCAAAGCTCCTTCAGCACCTTCTAAACACATGACCACTTCCATAAGTAAGGACAAGGGCAGCCAGATACATGAAAAATCACAACTTGCAAGTTCCCCTCCAAGCCACTTGCCATCCTGACTTGGAAATATATCCCATTCCTCCACTGCCAGTAGGTCAAAATTCTGGGTCAACCTACGGCACAAGGACTGCAGCAGTTCAAGAAAGTAGTTCACTATTACCTTTTCAAGGGCAACTAGGCATGGGCAATTAATGCTGGCTGACCAGCGATGCTACATCCAATGAGTGAATAAAAAAAAGTTGGTCAGATAGAATTTCACTGCAACAAAACCAGGCTGAGTGTTCTTGATTAATCACTGCCTCTCCTCAGAATTACTTCCAACAGGTTTCCTTACCACCGAGGTGGTAAACTCGCTGGGAGGTAGTTTCCTACTTTAACCCTTGCTCCCTTCTTGAATAACAGTACCACATTGGCTGTCCTCCAGCACCCGTCCTATTGCCAAATAGGAGTTTAAAAATTCATGCAAGTGCCCTTGCTAATTCCTCCTTTGCTTCACTCAACAACCCAGGATACCTATCATTCGTCCTTTGAGATTTATGTACTTCTAAGCCTACCAAATCACATGGAACCTCCTCTCTGTCTATGCTAATTTCTTCAATTGTATCACCAAACTGAAAAATTAACTTAAAAATCTTTTTAATGGGCATTGAACTTGGCAGTGGACAAGGATCCAGCACAGGAAGATGAATGGCCAAAATGAGAAGACATTATGCAAGAATTCCATTATTAAATGTAACTGCACAAACAGTGTTAAGACATGCTAAAAATCCACTTTAAAAACAGACCCATTTGGTTAGAAATGTAGAAAAGAAAATAATTAAGTTGACTGAAATTTATAATTTCAAATTTGAAAGCATGCTCAAAAGAAGCAATGTCTAGAAAGACAATAAAACAAGGAACCTGAATGACAAAATTGTCCTTGACATGAATGCACAACATCTGTTTTAAAAAGAAATTAGTAACAAACTCACTTGTGACGACTCGTACTATGGTGATGTTTAGAGACCTCTTTTTCAGGTAATGAAGTTGAAGACGAGGAGGAGTGCGAGCCCAAGTTCTTTCTCTGTTCTTTTGTTTTCTGCAGAACACGCTTATATGAAAGTGTACAGAGCCAACACAGCAGTTTTCCATCAACCTATAAATAAAATAATTTCAAAGCTTGGCAAAATGGGCTGAGAGAATTGTTTATAATGATATCTATTATTCTGTTTTAGAAAATATAATCTCTTGGATGTACCTTAGCTGCCAAAAAATTCAAACGTTACTGCCAGAAGAATACTTGCTGCAGGATGGGCTATGCTAAAAACAGTTTTGGCAAGCTATTTGTAAATATCATTGATTTTGTTTTTGCACCTTCATACAGATTTTTGATCTTTATTTGGATGTACAGGAATTCCCAAGTTACCTCAGTCGTGCAATTCTCCCACCCCAATGAAATGCAATTAACTTTTCTCAAAAGGAAGAAAAAGAGAAACAAAATTCTCCAGAATGAATCAGCTACAGATATGTTGGGACTATTCACTGATTTTTAAACTTCCACCTTTGTCTATTGACCCCCCCCAAAAAAATGAAGCCAATGGTAACCATTGTTCTTGAAATATTTTAAGTGGCAGAGGCTAAAAAGTTGGAAAAAAGCAACCTTGCAATTTGAAAGAAACTGTCATACACACAGGCACTTACAGGTCAACTTACAGCAATACTTTTCCTTAACTTTTCTCCCAATTTGTTTTGCAAAGCTTTCAAACTTCAAGGTGAACTCAAAATGTCAATGGTGGTGAGAAGTAGGGATGTGAATGGTTAAACTGAAATAGGCATTACATTATACAATTACACAGGGGAGAACTGAAGATAACTGAAGAAATCTAACAAGTTTATGAACATTATATGACATCAAGACCCTGGTGATTAAGTTGCAGCTGTGTAACTTCCTCCAAGACAAGTGTAACTACAGACTTTTCATTTGTCTCCATTCAACCTAAATCTTTGTATGAATTTAGGTACAGGAGAAGATTATCAGCTCCTTGAGCCTTTTTTACCTTCAATGAGATCATGGCTGATCTGTGGCCTAATGCTATATATCTGCCTAAGGCCCATATCCCTGAACACCTTTGCTTCTGACAAATATTTATCAATCTTGGATTTAAAATTAATAACTGATCGATCACTGATTGCTAACTGTGGAAGAGAGTTCCAAACCTCTACTACACTTTGCATCTTCAAGTGCTTCCGAACATCTCTCCTGAATGGTCTGACCCTAATTTTTAGGTTATTATTTTTATGCCTCCTAGTTTTAGAACCTCCAACCAGTGGAAATTGTTGATAAAGATAAACTATGTCTTTTCCTGAATCCCTACAATGCAGATAAAGGCCATTTACCCCATTGAGTCTGCACGAACCAAACAGCACCCCATGCAGATTCACCGTATCATTGTAACCCCACATTTACCATGACTAATCCACCTAGCTTGCACATCCCTGGACTGTGGCAGGAAACCAGAGCACTTGCAGAAACCCATGCAGTCATGGGGAAAACGTGCAAATTCCACACAAATAGTCATCCAAGGCTGGAAATGAACCCAGGTCCCCGGCGCTATGAGGCAACAGTGCAAACCACTGTGCTGCCCAATATCTTGAATATCTTGAAGACTTCAGTCAGATCACCCCTTAGCCTTCTAAATGAGAGAGGGAATAGGTTTAATTTGTATAATCTCTCCTCATAGCTTAAGTCCCTGCATCATTCACATAAACCTATGTTGCACTCCCTCTATCCTTCCTAAGATACGGTGCCCACATCTTCTCACATTACTCCAAGTAGGGGCCAACCACAGTTTCATACAACTTCTGCATCTTCGTATTCCAGTCCTCTAGATATAGCGGCCAACATTCCATCAACTTTCTTGAATGCTGTCTGCACTTTTCATGGTATTTTAATGAACAATGCACCTGCAACCCCAAATCTTTGGACATCCAATGTATTTAGCTTCATACCACCTAAAAAGTATGTTTTCGGTCCAAAATAGAAAACCTTACACTTGCTTCACTGAACCCCATCTGCCACAGTTTTGCCCATTCACTTAATCTACCAATATCCCTTTGTAATTTTGTGTTATTGTCTACAATATGGAACAGGCTCAAGAGGCTGAATAGCCTGCTCCTGTTACTATGTATTCCTATGTACAATGCCAACTAACGTTATGTCATCAGCAAATTTGGATATGATTTATTATGCTATTATCCAAGTCGTTAACAATCAATGTGAATAATTGAGGCTTTAACACTGATCCTTAAGATGCATCACTGGTCACACCCTGGCAATTTGAGTACCTACCAATTATCCCTATGTTCTCTAGCCTGCTACTCACCCAATTTCTGAGCCATATTACTAATTTGCCTTCAGTTCCATGGGTTTCCATCTTAGTTAACACTCTCTTATATGGGAATTCATTAAATGCCTTCTGGAAATAGATATAACAACACTCATCGAAGTTCCCCTATCCACAACCTTAGCTACCTCCTCAAAAATAAATCTATAAAGTTTTTCAGGTATGGCCTACCTATTATGGATCCATACTGGTTCTCCCTGATAAACTGAAACTTTTGGATTATAGACTCCAACAAAGTCCCCACCACAGATGTTAGGCTAACTGGACCTTTATTCTTCGGTTTTCTTCTTTTACCCTTCTTAAAAAGCAGAGTAACAAGTGCAATTATCCAATCCAGAGGGATGGCTCCTGCAGAGGGAGCTCTGATAGTATCATCGTTGGTGTGTCTACAATATGCTCCCCTACTTCCATTAACACCCTGGGATGGAAACTATCAGGTGCTGGTGATTTATCACTTTTTAATTGCATAAAATTTTCTAATTACCAACATTTTACTTATATTCAGTCCCTGTACCCATCTACTATTAATTTCCTCGAAACTTCTGACATATTATTCTCGTTTTCTGCTCAGATACAGAGGCAAGGTAATTATTCAACCTGTCTGCCATTTCCCCATTGTCATTGGCAATATCTCCAATTTCAATCTTTGGTAGACCAACATTACTCGCGACTACCCACTTCCACTTTATGTAACTAAAACATTTCTTGTTATTGATTTTGATGTCCCTGGCAAATTTCCTTTCATAAGGCCTAGTCAATTTTTTTTAAGCTGCTTTGTGGACCTTTGCTACAGGGAGTCCGTACACAACACCTATTACAGTTTTAGATCCTTTACTGTTCCTCAGTTTCACCCAATTTCCATTGAATGCTTTCCCCTCATACTGTCCTTCCTCACCACTGAATAAATTTTGTTTCTAATCAGTGAGGCCACTCTGCTGCCATTTTCCCTGTCCATCCTGTAAGCCTTATAACCTGATGCTTTAGTTCCCAATCCTGACCACCTTGCAGTCATGTCACAGTATCATAATGTCAAATTTGAATTTGTACCTGCAGCTCATATTACTCCTTGTACTGCATTCATTCATGTATAGAACTCTTCTTTGGCAATTCACTGTAACCTGTCCCCGAGCACTGATGATTTATTCACCTGTTTATTAATTCTCTCTTTTCCAGTTTAATCAATACACTTCTTATAGTTTTGCCATTCCCTGCCATATCTGAAGTAAGATTCCAGTTTCTTTACTCTGTCATGTTACTTGATTCTGAAACAGTACAGACTGCCACCAAGCCCTCAGTCCCTCCCCCCCCTAACTAGTTTCAAGTCCAACTTATTTACCCTTTAAAAGGGACAGTGGTCCCAGCTCAGTTCAGGTGGAGTCCTCCTCCTGGGACATTTCCTTCTGTTCCAATAATGATGCCAGTGCCTCACAAAATAGAACCACTTTCTCCCTTGCTACTCCTTTAGCCATGCGTTAACTTCCCTAATTCTTATCTCCATGCCAATTTGCACATGACTCAGATAATAATCCAGAGTTTATAATCTTTAAAAACAAAGAAGGTCCTGTTCTTTAATTTTATTCCTAATTCCTGATATTCCTCAAACAGGACCTCGTGGTTACTCTTGCCTATGTTGTTGGTCCCAACAACTGGATTCTTCCCCTCCAACTTCAATATTCTTTCCAGCCATTTTGAAATGTCCCTTATCCTGGCACCAAGCTGGCAAGACACCATATGGTACTCTATATTCTGTTTACAGTAGCTGTACACCTAATTATAAAATATCCTACTAGATTTCTTTCTGCTCCCCCTGCTTGAATGGCCTCTTGTACCATGGTGCAGTGACCAGTTTGCCCATCCTCCCTTCAGTCCTTTCCACCATCCACACAGAAAGCAAGTACCTGTTGGACAACAGGTGAGGCTGCCCCAATGTTAAATTCAAGGTTCCTCTACCTGCCTCACACCCTTCTGTTCCTCACCACTGGGCAAATTTGAAGCACTTTACTTACAAGGTGTGACTTCCTCCTGAAGCACAGCATCCAGGTAACTCTTCCTCTCCCTGATACGTCACAGTGTTTGAAGCTCAGACTCCAGCTCATCAACCACAAGTCGGAGTACCTCCATCAACCAATACCTGCTATAGATGTGGTCACTATAAACCACAATTAGGTGCATAATGCAGGTACAACACATCACCCAGCCCTGCATCTCTAAATTATTTAATTAGTTTTTAAGGTATAGCCAACATTTGTGGATTGGGTTGTGGAGGTGGTGGTTCGTTTGCTTGCCGAGCCAGTTGTTTTGTGGTGTGCAGATGTTTCGTTACCATTCTAGGCAACATCATCAATGCTACTTCTAAGCGAAGCGTTGGTGTTATGCTCCGTTCCAAATTTATATGATCCTCTGGTGTGGTGGGTCTTATTACTTCCGGTTCTGTTCTTTTTTCAGCATCGGTCTGAATACAGGGTCTATTTCTATGTGTTTGTTAATGGAGTCCCGTGTTGAGGAGCAGGCCTCCAGAAATTCCCTTGCATGTCTATTGGTCGCTTGTCCCAGTATAGTCACTTTGTCCTAGTCGAACAGATAGCCTTCATTGTCTGTGTGTATCGAGACAAGCGAATGTTGGTCGTGTCTTTTTACTGCCAGCTTGTGTTCATATATCCTGGTCGTCAGTTTTCTCCCCGTTTGTCCAATGTCTAATGGGACAAGCGAACAACAGACATGCAAGGGAATTTCTGGAGGCCTGCTTCTCAAC